TCAAGTTCATTGCTTAGCAAGGGAATTGACTTTATTATCAAGAATTTGGTTAGTAATTTGCTTTAATTAAAGGAGGTTATGGTTGGAGTTATTTGTTAAATTATTTAATTGATTAATTGATTTAACTTTATGAAAAATTTAACTGTTAAAGTTAGTATTGTTTACTACGATTGATTATATTTGTTGAATCTCTGCTTTATTTCCAGCAAATTAATCTGCTACCATTTATAATTGGTTGAATGATTTTAGTTGATTAAATATTGTAGTTATGGCTTTATGCCTTTTTTTTCTGCTTATTTACAGACTTTTGCACAACAACAGGTGGTGCTACAACAGCAACAATATCAACGTGCCTTACAACAAGCAGCACAGCAACAACAAGTTTGTATTTCTATTACTGATGCATAAGTTTTGCTTGTATTTGATCATTTGTATTTAGATTTAAATATTAATATTATTTAACATGTTATTACTAATACTGAAAATTTTCCCCTTATTCCTATTTCGATCTTCAACCTTTGTATTTCTAATACTTTCACTAGTGCTATTTTCTGCTGACATTATTTAGCAAGTGTTATTAATAGTGGTCAGTTGACTTGTGATATTAGAATTTAATCATATGAATCCCTTCATTTTATAATTAAAAGTATGGCACGCTTTAAAACATACAATATAATTCAGTGTCGTATTTAAAAAAATTTTTCATTTTTAGCAACAACGACAATTGGAACAACAGCGTTTGTTAGAGCAACAACAACGGCAACTTGACCTCATGCACCAGGAGCGTGAGGCAGCTCGGTTGAAACAACAGCAAGATGAAGTTGATTTATAAACTATTGACCATTGACTGATGAATTATCATAGACAAAAAAGGCACTGAGCCCAATAAAATTTAGAAAGATAAGTAGTCCATCAAAATTCCTTCAGTTGTTACGCCAAAAAGCTGAAGCATTGGCACGCCAGCAGCAGGAAGAAGCAGCGCGATTGAAACAGGAGGAGCTTCGGCGAATAGCTTATCAGAAAGAGCAACAACTTAAACAACAACGAGAAGCACATGAAAGACTACGTTTGGAGCAGCAACGAATTTTGGAAGAACAAAAACGGCAGGTAAAAGTAGTTTTTTAAGAACAGCTGGTTTTATAAACAAAATTTGACAATTAATTTTGAAGTCTTGTCACTTAATCTCAGCTTTTCCGTCTCGAATGTCGATGTATTTTGTGCCTCTGGCAAGTGTTCACAGGGATAAAAGGAAAATATGGAAAATATCCGCTGATTTCTATACTCTGAGTGAAGATTATGGTCAGACAGCGCAGAATTGGAATGATTTGAACAAAATCATGTATTGACTTTCTATTACGCTAATTTTAACTCTTGAATTTGATCAGTATGAAATAATAATTCTTAAATTTCATTGATTTAAAATTTTTATTTTCTGACATTTTCCGTATAGGAAGAAGCTCGAAAAATTGAAGAGCAACGCAAAGAAGTAGAAAAAGTACGCGCAATACGGGAGCAACAAAATCGAAAGCAGCGTGAAGCACGTGAAGCTTTCAACGTAATGAAAGAAAAAGCCGACAGTTTCCCTATTCCCATACATCTGGCTGGTTGTCATACACTTACGAAACGTATGATTTACTACCAATTTTTAGTTGTAGGATCTCAGTGTAATGGAAGAAAAAGTTGATAGTTTTCCCATCTCTGCACATCTGTCTTATTCTCACTCATTTCTCATATGTATAGTTTAGTTTACTGCCAATTGTTACATAGGCGTTTATAGTTACACGACCAAGAGAGTTGGCATCGTCAAACAAATATGCGCTGCTATTTTATGATGCACATCCGTTACCGTGACCTTATCGTAAATGACATTCCTTCCCGGCTCGTGACACCATAAAATTTTTGTTGGGAAAGCTAATCTGTGAATTCGTTTTTTAGTGATATAGATTTATTCGGGATGTAATGTTGTCCTTGCATAATATTACTAGTTAAACAACAAAAAAAGGTGTAAAATATATATGTTACGCAATGAATTAATAACCAGTGACAAATGAGTTGTACAATAAGCAAGCGTTGTGATCATCTAACAAATTCCTTGTCGTTGCCTTCGATAATAGTTTGACTGTCGTTTTATTGATAGGTTGCGTAATGGTTGAGATATGAGAATTCGTCATTCGTTGAGTTAGGGATATGTTGCAGGAAATAATTTTAGCAAAAAGAAGGAATATTGTAGTCCGTTGTTTAGTGCTGGCGGATATGTGAAGAGGACGTCGTAGTTTGCTTGATTGTAAAAAAATAAAGTTTCGAATTTTTCCTTATGTATATATATATGTGTGTAAATATAAGGATTGGAAAAAAGTTTTGTAAGCTCCATTGGGGTTATCGTGGAGGTATGACTACCCTTTGGCATTGTCCATTGTGTAGATACAATGGATATTATTGGTGTAGATATTGAGATGTCTTTGTTATGCTGACCATTGTTAGCTTATATTTTCTTCATTGCTTTAACTTTATTTGCAAGATTTCATCATCCTGTCTGTTATTGTGGAAATTTTGTTTGAACATAGCTTTAATTTCGGTAATCCGACAGACCTAATTAGTTATCCTTAGTCACAATTCTGTTATTGTTAGTAGCTGACTTCATTTCATTTAATTTTGATATCATACACTCGTTTCATTTTGTTACCATGGTCAATGGCAATTTTTTAAAAGATATTTAGTCTTTTGGGATAAAAAAAACTTGATCTTTAAAAAAATATTTTTTCTGTATTTACGGCTGAGTTAATCCATTGCTGAATGAATCACCTTTCATGGAAGGATATTGTTCGTTGCAGTGGTGAATCATTTGCCGTTTCCGTCTCCTTATTTACCTTACACGAACAACCTGAAGTGTGAGACTATAGGCCAACCACGTATCGGACCTACACAAAAAGAAATTTTGATGCAAGCCGTTGAAGCAATTTCACAAATTGAAACTTCCGACGTGTTAGTTTTCAGCTTTTTTTGTTTAAGATGATTTAACGAAAAGGAGTTCACCTTAGCAATTTCTAATTCTTTTTCTTTCATTTTTTTCTTTTTTTTTAAATGACAAACTTAGATCCCGACGAGTTGGAACAATCAACTTCTTTACTATTAGATATTATTTCTGCTTTTTATTGTTTCATTGGAATGTACTGCAAACATCTGTATAAGACGGAATGTCCTTCTAAGTCTGGTTTTGTGGTGAGGTGGTGTGTTTGGTGTGTTTATCTAGTTAAGTGACCACCATACTTTATCCATTCATCTCCATTGTAACTTTTGCGCATATTTATTCATTTGATTGCAGCTTAATGTTTCTTATTACATTGAAGTAACCATATAATGAAACATCAGGTTATTGAAACATGAAGATGGTGAAACGAATGATTTTGATGTGCATGCGGCTCCTTGTTTTGTGCGGGAACTGTATGAAATCAACCATCAGGTCTGAAATTACGAAGTTTTTGTAGTTACATAAATGTCATATAGAGCAGATTATCTTGGATTTTTACAACTTGACTCCTTAAATTTTTTATCTAAATCATTGGGAAATTACAAGTGATTAGGATAGCCCTTCGTTTACTTTATCATGCTGTTATATATCCTCTATAATCTTCTAATGACATGATTAAGATTATGTTCATCCGATTTGAGTCAATATTTTGTTGTGTTTAATGCCGTGGATTCAGAAAAAACATTTCTTATCTGAAGTTTTTAATAATTGTAGACATTTGACGTTGACATTCCTCAAAGTGTTGTAGCTCCTGAAATAATAGACGCAGCAGCCAGTGCTTCAATTGAAACTGAAACGGATGTAATGGTGATGCACTGTTTTCTGTTTTGCATGTTTTTTATTAAGTAGTTATGTTTTTTGTAAAGTTTGAATTTTTCTGATTACTTCCTGCAACGAGGTAGTAACTGGGGAAGTTACTTGTTAAGTTTGTAAAATATTCAAATTTTTTAAGGAAAAACCAGCGGAACTTCAAGAACAAATTACACTTGCGAAGGATACTGCGGAAACAAGTGCTACAATCGAAGTCGAATCACTGCAAACGGAAGCAGCGAGTATTTCCGAAACATGTAAACCATCTTTCTCAGATACACCGAAGAAAGAGACTACATTACAGGAGGATGAGCAGCAAGTCCAATTGCGTCGACAAATTGTTTCTCTTGGAAAGCAACCGAAAGCACAGCAAATACGCAGGAAAAAGGATATGGTTCGTGGATTAAATTTCGTAATTATTCCTTTCACTTGAAACGAATGAAAACAATCCCGATTCACTTAGACCTTACTGTACTATGTGACCTTACTTAGACTTTACTGTTCTTCGTATGCTACAAGAAATCAAGTCACTCGTCAGTGTAACTTTTGTTTTTATATCTACCTATTTTGTTTTCTTCTTGGGGAGCCATAGGACATTGAAGGTTATAATTCATTTTCTAAGCCGTACTGTAGCTTAAGTAAATAGTATGGTGAATGGTAAGGACTTTGCACGAAGCACTTTTAACCCACATATGCCACTGACTTTATCGATTGTCAATATCACAGGTTGAATCGTTGTTCGACTCTTTGACTGGTTATTTTGACCCAAGTGAAGGTCGACGCCGCCGACAGCGAACAAAAACATACGAAGAAGAACAAAACGAGAAAGTATCTTTTATTTTGAAATGAATAATTTCGAGATTAATTTGAAACCTTTATTCGTTTTCTATTTGTTTATTTTTTAGTTTCTTATACCAAGTAATTCGTAGAATCGCCAAAATAAAGGTTGGTTTTATGAATTATTTTGTTGAACAGTTTCCTTCAGTATAGTAACACTCGCAAATTTTTATGTCGTACAGTTGGCTGTGCCTTCGTTTTTCGTAATAAAATTACAAAATGAATTCTTTTTTTGCAGGTACAAATGGAACTTTTTGCACAGATGGAGAAAGTAGATGCCAATGAAAGAGAAGAAAGTAATCCTTTCAAGTCCTTAAACTGTGTTTTCTAACCCATCACAGTTTCAGCAGACTGTTGCTTTTGTTTCTTCAGAGGGATTTGCGAAAATTGAGCACCGTCCAGATCATGCGGGAACGTCTAAGGAAGGATCGACAGAAAATGATGACAAACCAAAATTTTTCGAAGGACACAAGAAAGGCCGTAAAAGAGTTCGAGAAAAAGCCCTTGAGCAATCGGACAGACCACCGACACCAACGGAAGGTCTAAATTTATGAAGTTAATTTGCCCATCTTTCATTCATCTGGACGTTTACCGGAACGTTCTTTTTCCTTTTATGCTTAATAACCTCATTTTTACTGGAGAATACCAAGTTTCATGATGGGCTGAAATTTATTTTTATGCTTTCTTACGATGTTTCGAATTATAGTGATTCAGCAGCGGGAATTAGAGTGGCGTGAACGCCAACGTAAACGACGTGAGAAGCACAAACGTCGACAGAATGAATCGGAATCTGAATGCTGGAATAATGAAGGTTTATCTGCTCATTAATTTGGCTTCTCCACACATTTTTTTAAACTCTATATTACTTTCATTCGTGAAAACAGAAGTAACCTAATGAAAAGGCTCAAATTAATACAATTAAAAAAATGAAGTGAAGAGGATCCATATAACAATACAGTGAGTCCTCGCATAGTAGTAAAGTCATGGAGCTCAGCTTAACAAACGTTATTAAAGATTAATAATTACGTAAATTAACTATCTCGAAGGCATGTCTATTCAGATAACACATTGTAGTTATGGCAGAGAAGGAATCGTATATGAAATTCACCACTATTATTGATCAAATTTTTGAAAGTATGGATGAACAAGATTTCGTTCCAAGTACAAATGGTTAGCTCGGCTTATTTTTTAAAGACGTCTGGCCATCGTTTAAAGTGTGACTTATTGTTTGGGGGAAATATGTTTATCGTCGAACTCAAATTTGAACTCGGGCTGACTTCGTTATTTTAATTAGTTTTAATTGAAAATTTGATTTCCAGTATGTGTTCCATAATCGTTATCTGTTACCTGCTTTATCCTTTTTGCATTTATCAGCCTTTACGTAACTGATGTTAAAACTGTCCTAATCACCTCTAGCTTAATGCGAAGAATCAAATACAATTTCATTGCCGCGAATTTCAGCAGACGATGATGGCGGAATACCACAAGATTTTCTGGACAAAGATCAGCTCGAAGAACTTCGGCAGGAAGCACAAAAATTAAAATCGTGGAAAAAAATCAATAAAGTAATTTTTTCTGTAAAGTAATATTTAGCTTTTTTTATTTAGCGGCTTAATTGTCCATTATTTCATTTCTTTTTATCAAGAAAGGTTTATGTAAGAGGTTAATTCAGGTCAATCCGGAACGTCTAGTAAAGCTTTTGACGATTTTGGAAAAGAATATACGTGATATAATTGGCACAGAAGGGGAGCAGTCACTCATTGCTCTTTTTAATGAGGTGATTTTCCATTTTTATTTCAATTGTAATTTTTTTACATAAAAACATGTTAAAGATGTAACTTTATTCATTCTACTCCTACTTTATCGCAATTTCCAGCATATTGATAATAGTTTCAGTAAAATTTAAGGGTATGACCGCCATTGGTATTGCAGGCGATTCGTAGGGAATCAATGATTTAAACACTGTGCTCCCGAATATGTTTAAAGGAATCTGTATACTATTGTAGGGAGCGCATGATGCATTTTTGTTTTCCTTTTTTTCCTAGGATGATGGGGATGATTCAAGTGAAGCATATCGTGAAGCAATCGGTGATCGTATATTGCGTGCAGCTGATGCGTCATGTACAGCAATGCTTATAATGACATCCACAAAAATGCCCAAACAGGTAAGGAAAATCTTGCAAAAAAAAATCTTGATGGCAGCTGATAATTCAGTATTTCGTGATTTCTTTTTTATTATAGTCAAAATATTTCATTTCTCTTGAGCTGCTTTGCAGCAGTGTAATTTTTACACGCATAACATATAGATGGATATTCCAGTTGAGCCACTCTAATATTTTTCCAAGCAGTATTTTGTAAATTGTTTTACAAAATTTGAGGGCTGCAGTTTCTGATCCTTCCAGGTATTTATCGAAGACCCAATTGATCGTTCCATACAACTCTGTAAGCAATTTCTTCATAATATTATCTACCCGACATCCGACAGCTCATGTCGTGCTTCTAATAAAGGACGAAAGAATGGTAATCATAAATTACAAATACGGGTTTAAACTTGAATTGTGAATATTCCTTGGTTAGTTTTTATTGTTCTCTTTGCAGAAGATAGGAAACGAAAGAGGTCCATAAGTAGTGCTCGATCCCGTATTATCAAGAACATTTACACTCGTGTTACTGAACTTGTTGGATGCTTTGCTGAGCTTGTAAGTATTCTTTTTTGTTAAAACTTGCGAAATAAAAATAATTTTTCTTCCGTTTTAGATGAAGACTCTAGCTTTTTTTCTTTCCTAAAGATTGAGATCCAATTGGATGGATTGCAAAACACGAAAAATTTAGAATGCAAGTCTAGTTTTGGAAGTTGGGCACGCTCAAATAGAAAGGAGTTGTAACTGTTGGTTTTAGAAGTTTATTTAATTTCGAATATAAAATTATTAAGTTACAGCTTGAGTTGTCTCCAGCTTGCAAAGTAGATTTAAAATGGTTTATTATTATTATTATTATTATTATTATTATTATTATTATTATTATTATTATTATTATTATTATTATTATTATTATTATTATTATTATTATTATTATTA